ATCCAAAAGTTAATAAAATGACTTATTCTTTAAAAGAGTAACCATTTTGTAACAATATAAATATACGGGGCATATAGTGAAAAGAAAAGACTATACCAGTACATTTTAAAAGAGTATATATATGAAAACAACTTTTTTTTAAAATTGTATAAATACGAAGTTTAAAGAAATTTGTGTTATATTAAGACTGTCATTTCGAAGGATTTCAAAGATTTTTAAAATGAATTTGTTTCATCGGTAAAATCAATATACTCTAGAACCTTTAAATTGCATATTCATATAATACATATCAGAGGACTGCACTCCCCGGCTCGTTTTGGCCCGTTATGAATTTTGCATATATAATCTATATCTAATTATTTCTCAATGTCAACTATTGCTTTTAACTCTTCTAGATGGCTATCTATTTCTATAACAACCGTTCATTGTGTTTGATATCTCTGTTAGTGATATGCATCGGGCCTAAATTTTCTAACCAAGCTCGGCCCGAATTTTTTTTTAAAATGTTTTGCCGGCCCGGCCCGATCCCGAACTTTTTTTAAAAGTTTGGTCGTCCCGGTCCGAAATTACTTAAATATAGAAATTAATTTTTATAATTACTCAAAATAAAAGACATATGTTATATGTCGTTTAGTTTCAATAAATAAAATCAAAAATTTTTTATTTTACATAAAAAATTCAATATAAAATTGATAAATTTAGTTATATTTAAAAAAATTCCCTAGGACCGATTTGACCGGCCCGATTATTTTTCAAAATATAAGGCCTGGCCGGGGCTAAACCCGATTGTTTTAAATAGAATTAGCCCCGAGCCCGGCCCAAAGCCCATTCGGGCCTGACCTAACTTTGCAGATCTCTAATCTCTGTACCGTATTCTGAACTGAATTTATTAGAACATATCATGAATAACTTCTATATTATTTATAGATTTAGTATTTTAGTTTAAACATGTCTTAAAATACACCTAAATAAAGACATTGTAACATTTTTTTTCAAATAGTATTATTCAAAATATCAACTTGAAATTTAAAGATATATCAAAAAATGCCCGGGCCGCCATAAAAATCTAACGAAATGGTCATTTCGACTCTATAATATTATATAAAATAGGGAATAAAATAAAAATATCTCAAAAGTTTTGGGGCAATGGAAGAAGATACATCCACTTCCAAATCAAAATTAATTCAGATAAAATTAAGCAATTTGGATTCATCAACACCAGGTGTATCTCAAAAATTTGCTGACACAGTCATAATGAACTTTATAATAGATACTGTTCAACCAACCATTATCTAGTGGATAATGGTTCTTTTATAAAGATGATTACAGATAATGGGTTTAATTTCCTGAAGGCTTTCAGGTTTTAAATTTATTATAATATGATATAAATATAGAATATTTGGTGAAGATAGTAACAATAGTTGTAATATTCATGACAACGAAATGTTATTATTATTAAAGTGCAATAATAAATAAATTATATATATCAGAGACCTGCAGAGGCACCATTTACACGGCCCGGCCCGGCCCGGCCCGGTTTTAAATTTTTTAGGCCCGGCCGGGCCCGGATATTTTTTTAAAAATTTTTTTACGGCCCGGCCCGGATTTAAAGATTTAAGGCCCGGCCCGGATAAATTTTAAAAAAATTTTTTACGGCCCGGCCCGGCCCAGATTTAAAAATTTCAGGCCCGGCTCGGAATTTTTTAAAATTATATTCGACCTGGTATATACAAAAATTCACCCATGAGGTATTTTACCATATTTTTCAGCGAGTATTATCGCTTATTATTTAAAAAATACATGTAAAAAGCTAATATTTTGAGAATATTATATTGAATTTATAAAAATTATAAAACTGTTATTTATAAAAATGGATATTTTGAGCATATACTATATTTTTTTGCATTTATAAAAATAAAACTAATATTCATAAAAATGGTAATTATTTTGAGCATATACTATATTTTATATTGCATTTAAAAAAAATAAAACTAATATTTAATTTATAAAAATGGAAAATATTTTGAGAATATAATATATTGTATTTAATTTACTATTTAATTTATAAAATAAAAATAAATCGCTATTTAAAAAAATGCATGTATAATAAATAGTATTTTGAAAATATAATCTAATTGCACAATATTAATATAATTTATTTTATAATTTTTAAATATTTTATATTACATTTATAGGTTGGTTTTTCAGGTGTAAAAAAATTTATTAATTTTCATGGATTTACCATCACATTTATGTCATTTTAGATGTGATGTACCATGTTTATAATTATAAGATAATATACTTGAACAATTCTTACATTGTACGTAGCCAATGTTTTTTTTATTTTCATCTATGATGAGATGATGTTAAATTTAGCCCATATATCAGATTTTAAATTATTATTTGTATTTCTAAAAGAATAAATATTATTTTTAATTTTATTAATTATATCATTAGTATTTTGTGCCATGATATTCCTTTATTTGATTGTTTTGGTAAATATTCAAAAAATTTAGATATGAATCATAAAAAATATATATTATTAATACTTGAATATTGGGGCTTATTTAAGATATTCCTTTATTTGATTGTTTTGGTAAAATATTTGTAAAAATAGATATTGAATTATAAAAAAATATATTAATACTTTGTATAAATTTGCAGGAAATTAATAATTAGATCGATCTGTGGGTGTTAGGTGTGTTAACCATCACCCAATATTATATTAATCATAATTATAATATAATATAATCTTATAACCATTAACTCATAATGTAAAAATTTTTATAAAAAATATAAAGGCCCGGCCCGGCCCGGGTTTAACAATCTTAGGCCCGGCCCGGCCCAGCCCGGATATATTTAAAAAAAATTTTTTAGGCCCGGCCCGGATATATTAAAAAAAAATTTTTTTAGGCCCGGCCCGGGTATATTTAAAAAATTTAAAATACGGGGCCGGGCCTGCAGGTCTCTGATATATATATGTAATAAAAGATAGTCATGTTTTTATACCAATATTTAAAATTTTTGAAACTTATGATGGGATTGGGTTTGAATTTTTTTATTATTAAATATGGAATGGGCCTGCAAATTATTTTTACTGCTGACCTGGGCTGGAGCCTGATGAATAAATCAAAGCCCGTGGACCGTATTTTCAATAACTGAATTATTTCATTTACCATTTGACTTTATTTGAACTTAAAGGAATGAGCAAAACACAGGTTGATATGCCTTATTGAAATCATTTGAAAAAAAAAATTCTGATAATTCCAGAATTCAAGAAATTGTTGGACACAAGGAAATAAAGAAAACCATTGTATTTTAGGCTAAATAACAAAAATTAGTGCCTGTTGTGACCCTTAAATTACATAAATTTTAGGGATGTTTTTAAGAACCCATATCAAAAATATAAGTTACTAGCTATAGCTTGTCAAGAATGAGTGGAATCAGAATTTTATTCTTTATATGATAGATGAATAATAAATTTTACCTTTATTGATGATGAATCAGAAATTTTCCTATCTTATGAGATGTGATTCAGAAATTTATATTTGTTTAGATGAGGGGTTATTCTAAAATTTTTACATTATCTTTTATAAAATATGTTTATCAAGTATATGGATAGTAATTTTAATTTAGGTGCACAATAAAAAATCTTTTAAACTAAATTTTTATTCATTTGTATTGGTAATTTATAATATAAAAAATATATTCTTGCCAGAACTTCATAAGATAGGAAAATTTCTGATTTCATTCATCATCAAGTAAAGGTAAAATTTATAATTCATCCATTATTGAATAAAGAAAAATATTCTTATTCCCCGTCATTCTTGACGATTTATGTGTTCAATTTATCTATTAAAATAATCCTCAAATACCCTTATAACCGCAATTATTGAATCTGCCATCTGAGGGTTTTTCCAAAAAAAAAATCATTGAATAAAGAAGAAAATTCTGACTCTCCGTCATTATTGACGGGTTATCATCTAGTACAACTATAAAATAAATAAATAAAAAGACATTATATTTTTATATCCATATAAATAAAATTATCCCCACACCCCTCCCAACACCCCTATTAGGTGCTAGCTAGGTGTTAACAAATTAAGAATTTATTATAGAGATTTATGGTATAAAATTAATATATTTCTATTTTGAATGAAATTTAAAAAAAATTATATCTTAATTAAATAACTGGCTTTTAAATTAATTTGTCTGCTGAATTTTGTTTTGAAATTGTTGATAATGAATATAGATTGAATATCTATAAACTGATTGATATTTATTTGCAAAATATATGAATAATGAAATGTCTTAATCTAATAGATTCTTATAAAATACAAGAATTTTTGTTTAATTATCGAAATACCCACAAATAACAACAAAAAAATTACCAATTTTATCTAATTTATACTTCTTCATATTGGCTTTAACTTGATGGCCCTATTGAAGTTTTGGCCTTCCTCTTTACTTTTACCCATCACATCCAAACTCTCAACCTTATTTTCTATTCATAGGCCTTCTCATTGTGTGCCCTTACCACCTAAGTCTGTTCACCATTATCTTAGTCTTAATAGGTACTACCTTTAAACCTAATATTCTTGTAGTTCGCACCGTATCCTTTCTTGATACCCCAGCAAACATCCTCAGCTTTCTCATCTCCATAGTTTGTTGACTTCTCTCATCTGTTTCTTTGGTTGGCCATGTTTCAGAACTATATAGAATAATTGGTTGTACTATGAAACGGTAAATTTTTCCCTTCAATTTGTATAGGATTCTTTAATCAAAGAGCCATGTAATAGACCCTCTTGTAACATATTTGCACATCCCTCTTTATTTGTTTTTCTCCGATAAAACTTCTCCCTGCTTTCCGACCCCCTCACCTCGATCTGATTCGCAGATTTTTCTCTATCATAGTCACAAATTTTTGCAATCCATCGCCAAATGTTCTTCTTCACGACTTCAAAAACATTTCACCCTTCTCTCCTCTCCTTTTTGAATATTTATGGCCAGAACTTTTCCCCCTTTTTCCATTCAATCGTCCTTACATTCGAAGCATTCATACCCATTTCTCTCTTGGGAAAACCGCTTTTATTGTCATAATTGTTCGTATTGCACTCTTCTTTATTATGCCCAAACCGACCACAACCCGCACATCTTAATCTCTCTTGTTTACCTGGACAATAAGGAGCTATATGTCCCAACTTCCCAAAACCAAAACATTTTGCCTCGCGACAATCTCTGAGCATATGACCTGGCTTATCACAATTAAAACAACTCATTATTTCTCTTTTTCGCGATTCAGAATTCTGTCTTATCTCCAATCTTCTTCCCCGAGAATTTTCGCTGGACTCTCTTCTATACGGTCGTAGCTCTTGATTATCTTCGAAACTTTGTTTATCCGAACTATGTAAATTTTTAATTACATCACTATCCGTCCACCCCTTAATTAGCTCCTGAACAGGTAACCAGGTTACTTTACCCATCATATCATCCTCTCCATTATGTCCTTCAATGGTCAATGTTTGTCTCTTCTCATTCTCCTGCCCCAAACTAAACTACAGAGACCTGCAGAGGTACCATTTGAACGGCCCGGCCCGGCCCGGTTTTAAATTTATTAGGCCCGGCCCGGATATCTTTAAAAAAAAATTTTTACGGCCCGCCGGCCTGGATTTAAAAATTTTTACGGCCCGGCCCGGCCCGGCCTGGATTTAAAAATTTAAGGCCCGGCCCGGATATTTTTTTAAAAAATTTTTTACGTCGGAATTTTTTAAAATTATATTCGACCTGGTATATACAAAAATTCACCTATGAGGTATTTTACCATATTTTTCAGCCAGTATTATCGCTTATTATTTAAAAAATACATGTAAAAAGCTAATATTTTGAGAATATTATATTGAATTTAAAAAAATTATAAAACTGTTATTTATAAAAATGGATATTTTGAGCATATACTATAGTTTATATTGCATTTATAAAAATAAAACTAATATTCATAAAAATGGTAATAATATTTGTCATATACTATATTTTATATTACATTTAAAAAAAATAAAACTAATATTTAATTTATAAAAATGGAAAATATTTTGAGAATATAATAATATTGTATTTAATTTACTATTTAATTTATAAAATAAAAATAAATCGCTATTTAAAAAAATGCATGTATAATAAATAGTATTTTGAAAATATAATCTAATTGCACAATATTAATATAATTTATTTTATAATATAAATTTTTAACAAAAGAAGATAATTGTATTATATAATATTGTAAAAAAAAATAATGAAAAATGTTGGATTAAAAACTTTCATGACTCAAGGTAAATATAATAAATGCAATAAATATTTGACAGTTTGCAAAGTAAAAAACCAGCATGATTGACGAAACCCTATACTCAAGAAAGATATTAAAAATTCACAAATTATCATGAAGAAAGAGAAGCATATCTACCTTTTCAGGTTGAAGATTACTTCTTCTTTCTTCAAGAATTCTCCCAGTAGTGGAAAAATTCGGCTCACAGCTTGCACTTAAAGCAGAAATTGCCAATTTTGCTAAAATTGGAAATTCGCTTTGATGAGCCGCCCACCACTCTAACAAATTATCCACCTTAAATGTTTTATCTATTATTTATGTAATTATAATATTCATCATCGGGTATTGACATATTACCAGAATTACCATCGCCCATTTGTCATAAAACGATTCAGTTTGTTTAACAACAGTCGTAATTTGACTGGTCGATGGTATTTCATTTACTTCGTGAGCCTCTTGTAATTTAATATAATCTTTTATATAGTTTTCCGTCATTTTGCGATCTGTCCCTGACTACATACGTAATTGCTTGAATTTGGGACAGAGAAAAAGAGAAATAAAATGATACTTGTGTAAAACAAATTTTTCAATTAAAAAATGCTTTATATTAAGTAAAATCAATTACAAATTTTAAGAAGTGATAATCCTTTATTTGATTGTTTTGGTAAAATTTATTCTAAAAATTTAGATATGAATTATAAAAAAATATATTAATAATACTTGAATATTGGGGCTTATTTAAGATATTCCTTTATTTGATTGTTTTGATAAAATATGTTGTAAAAATTTAGATATGAATTATAAAAAAATATATTAATACTTTGAATAAATTTGCAGGAATTTAATAATTAGATCGATCTATGGGTTGTTAGGTAATGTTAACCATCACCCAATATTATATTAATCATAACTATAATATAATATAATCTTATAACTAGTGTTGCGTAATCGGCTAATTTTAGCCGACTAAAAACGGCTTAGCCGAGATTTTAGGTGGAAAAATCGGCTAAGCCTAATTAGGTATAGCCTAAAAATCGGCTAAGCCTAAAAATCGGCTAAACCTAATTAGGCTAAGCCTAAAAATCGGCTAAGCCTAAAAATCGGCTAAGCCTAAAAATCGGCTAAGCCTAAAAATCGGCTAAGCCTAAAAATCGGCTAAGCCTAAAAATCGGCTAAGCCTAAAAATCGGCTAAGCCTAAAAATCGGCTAAGCCTAAAAATCGGCTAAGCCTAAAAATCGGCTAAGCCTAAAAATCGGCTAAGCCTAAAAATTGGCTAAGCCTAAAAATGGGCTAAGCCTAAAAATTGGCTAAAATAAATTAGTCAAAATTCTGCATAAAAGATTTCACCTAAAAGATTGTTTATTTATCTAATAAAATTTACAATATAATTCCTCAATAAAAGATGTATTTATAAAGAAGATTGTGAAAATCACTAATAAATTATATTAAAAAGAATATTACAATTTTACAATATAGCAGCATATTATTTTTTTTATTAAAATAACATCAAATAAATAAATTTATTTTCATTTCAAAATATAATAATATAAATAAAAAATATTAAATCATATCATGTTTATTTGTTGATAATAATAAAATATTTATATTAAATATAAATAAAATAAATTATTTTACTAAAATAAATAAATAATAATTAATACTAAGCATCGATGCAGAATTTTGACTAATTTAATTTTAGCAGATTTATATAGGCTTAGCCGATTTTTAGGCTTAACCTAATTAGGCTTAGCCGATTTTTAGTTTTAGCCGATTTTTAGGCTTACCTAATTAGGCTTAGCCGATTTTTAGGCTTAGCCTTATTAGGTTTAGGCGTAGTTTTTAGCCGATTACGCAACACTACTTATAACCATTAACTCATAATGTAAAAATTTTTATAAAAAATATTAAGGCCCGTCCCGGGTTTAACAATCTTAAGCCCGGCCCGGATATATTTTAAAAAAAAATTTTAGGCCCGGCCCGGATATGTTTAAAAAAAAATTTTTTAGGCCCGGCCCGGGTATATTTAAAAAATTTAAAAGGGTTTAGGGCCGGGCCTGCAGGTCTCTGATATTTTGTAATAAAATTATTCAAGATAAAAATTAGTTATATCTATTGATAATTTTTTAAAATTATAAAAATTTTTCAACTTTAAATGATAGTTATATTTAGAATTTGATAATTTTGAGACAAGTTTTTACAAACCCTACCTACTAAAGTAAATTAAATAATATTTTATTTAAAAATAAGAATTTTAAAAGTATTTTTTTATATTACAATATAATTGTTTGTTAAAGTCCATCTTGCGGATTAATATTTATGAAATTATGTTTTTAATATTTTTGGTCTAAATTTTATTCTATTTTAATGCATAAAAGTTCTTTAATACCAATATTACTAAAATATTTTTTTATAAAAATTATTTAATCATGATAATAGCAATTTATAAAGTGATAAAATAATTCATTATATTAATATACCTACCATAATTTGGCTCTCTTTTGATTGCTATAAATAATATCATGATTTAACCCTTTGGTTTCTCGGTGCATATGTTTCACTTCAATAATAAAATTATTTATACCCTCACCGTTTACCAGCTATTAACGGTTATAAATATGGCGCCAAAAATAAAAAACACTCAAAAATATTTTTTAAAAAAATTTCTTAGCCTTTTAATATACAGCCGATTGAAATTTTTTCCACCTAAAAAAGAACCTTTAATACATGGTGGGACATATTTAACCCGGCTTGATTTTTTTATTTTATTTAATACACAGATGTATAAATTTATCCTATTTAAAAAATTATATTATTTATGTTTATTTGAATATTTTCGCGCGCAAAAAGTTTCGTATTTTATCGATCCCGCCTTTTTATTTAATTTTATGCAAAATATTTTTTATAAAATTTTTAAATCAACTTTAGCAAAATTCTGGTACATTTGATAAATAAAAAATGATAAGAAGCATTTATATATTCTATATATTTATCATAAATATCAATATTTTTAAAAATTATCATTTATTTTTTTGGCAGTTACAAAAAATGTACCCGGTCATTTTGTCCCGCTGTGCAATAATGCTTATTTTACATTTATATTTTAAAAATGTTATATTTTTATAAAATTTTTCAAAAAAATTTTATTGTCTGATATATGTACAACTGATTCGGATTCCTTTTTGGAAATATACTCAAAGGAAGTCGAGGACAACATAATTGAATTAAATTGGAAGGCAATTACAATACCCCCACCAAGTTTTATATCAGATTACGGCTATGGTGATTATATAAGAGGTATCTATTTCGATTAAAAATTATCTAAAATCTTCTATCTCAAAAGATTCTTGACTTGGGTGTATCATCATACTTGCAAAGCATTCCAATATCGACTCCTTCAAAATTTCATAAAAAATATGTCGCTGATACAAGGAAAAAGGGATCGTATCATATTTCTATAAAAATTCTTGCAAGTGATTCGGAATCCCTGGAAAATATATTAGGACATCCTGGGAATGTTCTATTTGTAAAGTTTCGCTATGTATTAACGTTAAAAGAAATTGATTTTTCTTTTCATAACAAAAAATAATATATATAATACACAGTGGGAAAAATATGTCCCTCCCCAGTTATAAATTATTTTGTAATTATTGTATTTTATATTATAAAATTTCAATAAATATCAAAAAATAACATTTTAAACAATCTCAGTGATTATTTTATATAAGTTTTTATAGGCAATTTAGAATTTTTTTAGATGAAATGTAGCAATAAGATGTTAACGTACAACGATGGAGAATTATTTTTCTCTTCCTAATGATACCTTAAATTAAACTTTATCTTCATTATTTATTTCGGAAAATTTAACAAGAAATTAAATAATAATAATTGGAAAAAAATCATGCATTTTTTATGGGTAATTGGAATAGAGTTCTTATCAATTAATTGTTTACTGACTATAACAGTAAAATGTGACATGCCGACCATTTACAAATATAACAAGAAAATCTGCGAGCTTACAGAGTGTATACCCGAAATTGGCATTTATATGTCATACGTTAAATGACGAAAATTGAAATAAAACGGAAGTCAAATAAAATAGTTACAACGGTTTCGAAGGAATGCAATATTTCTAAAATATTATATTTGTAAAATTAGTTATCGTA